CGACGCATTGCTGCTCAGCTGAGCCTTGAAAAGTGGAACTCAAAGTTAAAAATAATACCTTGTTTCATTACATCTCTTTTAATGAATCAGCTTTTTTGAACGTGTTCGTTGAATGAACGAATGACTCACTTAAAGCCCGTTGTTGTAACAGTGTGTGCGCTGAGTGAAAGCCTTTCAATGCGCATACAGGGATCTCCCAGTCGCGGCAAGTTAAAGTTCACGGGGAAAATGTAAGCCTATTATTAAATCGATCCTCTGAGTTACGGATCGATCTTTAGAAATTAATATGAAAATCGATTCAGAATTGGTGAATCGATTTTTTCAACACAGCCCTAGTAGCCACGCCCCAAACTCTCCACCTGCTACAGTAGCCACACCCCCAAACTCTCCACCTGCTACAGTAGCCACTCCCCAAACTCTCACCTGCTTCAGTAGCCACGCCCCAAACTCTCCACCTGCTTCAGTAGCCACACCCCCAAACTCTCCACCTGCTACAGTAGCCCTGCCCCAAACTCTCCACCTGCTACAGTAGCCACGCCCCAAACTCTCCACCTGCTTCACTAGCCACACCCCCAAACTCTCCACCTGCTTCAGTAGCCACGCCCCAAACTCTCCACCTGCTTCAGTAGCCATACCCCCAAACTCTCCACCTGCTTCAGTAGCCAAGCCCCAAACTCTCCACCTGCTACAGTAGCCACTCCCCAAACTCTCCACCTGCTACAGTAGCCACTCCCCAAACTCTCACCTGCTTCAGTAGCCACGCCCCAAACTCTCACCTGCTTCAGTAGCCACGCCCCAAACTCTCCACCTGCTACAGTAGCCACGCCCCAAACTCTCCACCTGCTACAGTAGCCACGGCCCAAACTCTCCACCTGCTACAGTAGCCACGCCCCAAACTCTCCACCTGCTACAGTAGCCACGCTCCAAACTCTCCGCCTGCTACAGAAGCCACACCCCAAACTCTCCACCTGCTACAGAAGCCACGCCCCAAACTCTCCACCTGCTACAGAAGCCACACCCCAAACTCTCCACCTGCTACAGAAACCACGCCCCAAACTCTCCACCTGCTACAGAAGCCACGCCCCAAACTCTCCACCTGCTACAGAAGCCACGCCCCAAACTCTCCACCTGCTACAGTAGCCACGCCCCAAACTCTCCACCTGCTAGAGTAGCCACGCTCCAAACTCTCCGCCTGCTACAGTAGCCACGCCCCAAACTCTCCACCTGCTACAGTAGCCACGCCCCAAATTCTCCACCTGCTACAGTAGCCACGCCCCAAACTCTCCACCTGCTACAGTAGCCACGCCCCAAACTCTCCGTCTGCTACAGTAGCCACACCCCAAACTCTCCACCTGCTACAGTAGCAACGCTCCAAACTCTTCACCTGCTACAGTAGCCACGCCCCAAACTCTCCACCTGCTAGAGTAGCCACGCCCCAAACTCTCCACCTGCTACAGTAGCCACGCCCCAAACTCTCCACCTGCTACAGTAGCCACGCTCCAAACTCTCCACCTGCTACAGTAGCCACGCCCCAAACTCTCCACCTGCTACAGTAGCCACGCCCCAAACTCTCCACCTGCTACAGTAGCCACGCCCCAAACTCTCCACCTGCTACAGTAGCCACGGCCCAAACTCTCCACCTGCTACAGTAGCCACGCCCCAAACTCTCCACCTGCTACAGTAGCCACGCTCCAAACTCTCCGCCTGCTACAGAAGCCACACCCCAAACTCTCCACCTGCTACAGAAGCCACGCCCCAAACTCTCCACCTGCTACAGAAGCCACGCCCCAAACTCTCCACCTGCTACAGAAGCCACGCCCCAAACTCTCCACCTGCTACAGAAGCCACGCCCCAAACTCTCCACCTGCTACAGAAGCCACGCCCCAAACTCTCCACCTGCTACAGTAGCCACGCCCCAAACTCTCCACCTGCTAGAGTAGCCACGCTCCAAACTCTCCGCCTGCTACAGTAGCCACGCCCCAAACTCTCCACCTGCTACAGTAGCCACGCCCCAAATTCTCCACCTGCTACAGTAGCCACGCCCCAAACTCTCCACCTGCTACAGTAGCCACGCCCCAAACTCTCCGTCTGCTACAGTAGCCACACCCCAAACTCTCCACCTGCTACAGTAGCAACGCTCCAAACTCTTCACCTGCTACAGTAGCCACGCCCCAAACTCTCCACCTGCTAGAGTAGCCACGCCCCAAACTCTCCACCTGCTACAGTAGCCACGCCCCAAACTCTCCACCTGCTACAGTAGCCACGCTCCAAACTCTCCACCTGCTACAGTAGCCACGCCCCAAACTCTCCACCTGCTACAGTAGCCACACCGCCCCCAAACTCTCCACCTGCTACAGTAGCCACGCTCCAAACTCTCCGCCTGCTACAGTAGCCACGCCCCAAACTCTCCACCTGCTACAGTAGCCACGCCCCAAACTCTCCACCTGCTACAGTAGCCACACCCCCCCCAAACTCTCCACCTGCTACAGTAGCCACCCCCCAAACTCTCCGTCTGCTACAGTAGCCACACCCCAAACTCTCCACCTGCTACAGTAGCAACGCTCCAAACTCTCCACCTGCTACAGTAGCCACGCCCCAAACTCTCCACCTGCTACAGTAGCCACGCCCCAAACTCTCCACCTGCTACAGTAGCCACGCCCCAAACTCTCCACCTGCTACAGTAGCCACACCCCCCCCAAACTCTCCACCTGCTACAGTAGCCACGCTCCAAACTCTCCACCTGCTACAGTAGCCACGCCCCAAACTCTCCACCTGCTACAGTAGCCACACCACCCCCAAACTCTCCACATGCTACAGTAGCCACGCTCCAAACTCTCCACCTGCTACAGAAGCCACACCCCAAACTCTCCACCTGCTACAGAAGCCACGCCCCAAACTCTCCACCTGCTACAGAAGCCACATCCCAAACTCTCCACCTGCTACAGTAGCCACACCGCCCCCAAACTCTCCACCTGCTACAGTAGCCACGCTCCAAACTCTCCGCCTGCTACAGTAGCCACGCCCCAAACTCTCCACCTGCTACAGTAGCCACGCCCCAAACTCTCCACCTGCTACAGTAGCCACTCCCCAAACTCTCCACCTGCTACAGTAGCCACGCCCCAAACTCTCCACCTGCTACAGTAGCCACGCCCCAAACTCTCCACCTGCTACAGTAGCCACTCCCCAAACTCTCCACCCGCTACAGTAGCCACTCCCCAAACTCTCCACCTGCTACAGTAGCCACTCCCCAAACTCTCCACCTGCTACAGTAGCCACGCCCCAAACTCTCCACCTGCTACAGTAGCCACGCCCCAAACTCTCCACCTGCTACAGTAGCCACACCCCCCCCAAACTCTCCACCTGCTACAGTAGCCACGCCCCAAACTCTCCGTCTGCTACAGTAGCCACACCCCAAACTCTCCACCTGCTACAGTAGCAACGCTCCAAACTCTCCACCTGCTACAGTAGCCACGTCCCAAACTCTCCACCTGCTACAGTAGCCACGCCCCAAACTCTCCACCTGCTACAGTAGCCACGCCCCAAACTCTCCACCTGCTACAGTAGCCACACCCCCCCCCCCAAACTCTCCACCTGCTACAGTAGCCACGCTCCAAACTCTCCACCTGCTACAGTAGCCACGCCCCAAACTCTCCACCTGCTACAGTAGCCACACCACCCCCAAACTCTCCACATGCTACAGTAGCCACGCTCCAAACTCTCCACCTGCTACAGAAGCCACACCCCAAACTCTCCACCTGCTACAGAAGCCACGCCCCAAACTCTCCACCTGCTACAGAAGCCACACCCCAAACTCTCCACCTGCTACAGAAGCCACCCCCCAAACTCTCCACCTGCTACAGAAGCCACACCCCAAACTCTCCACCTGCTACAGAAGCCACGCCCCAAACTCTCCACTTGCTACAGAACCCACACCCCAAACTCTCCACCTGCTACAGAAGCCACTCCCCAAACTCTCCACCTGCTACAGAAGCCACGCCCCAAACTCTCCACCTGCTACAGAAGCCATGCCCCAAACTCTCCACCTGCTACAGTAGCCACGCCCCAAACTCTCCACCTGCTACAGTAGCCACGCCCCAAACTCTCCACCTGCTACAGTAGCCACGCCCCAAACTCTCCACCTGCTACAGAAGCCACGCCCCAAACTCTCCATCTGCTACAGTAGCCACGCCCCAAACTCTCCACCTGCTACAGTAGCCACGCCCCAAACTCTCCACCTGCTACAGTAGCCACGCCCCAAACTCTCCACCTGCTACAGTAGCCACGCCCCAAACTCTCCACCTGCTACAGTAGCCACGCCCCAAACTCTCCACCTGCTACAGAAGCCACGCCCCAAACTCTCCACCTGCTACAGTAGCCCCGCCCCAAACTCTCCACCTGCTACAGTAGCCACGCCCCAAACTCTCCACCTGCTACAGAAGCCACGCCCCAAACTCTCCATCTGCTACAGTATCTTACATACATACAACTATAAAAACCAACTCCTAACTGTAAGTATTAATTATAGCAACATAACACTTGCCACACATTTGTTACGCACGCATCATATTTTTTTACTCATTTGTTACTTTACTAAGCGTTTAGACTGTTGTTCCCCTAGCAGATGATAACCAGCAAATAAAGGCTTGCATTGTAGTGTCCGAGCCATATTTAAAGAGCAGAAACTTAATTTTTGCTAGTCTAAGTTGCTTACTGCTGCAACTACCCACAACATCATAGCAACAGCCCAGAGCACCCTAGCAACAACCTTGCAAAATACTCTAGTAGGCTAATAGAACATCCTAATAGCCATCTAGCAACACCACAGCGAAAACTCTACAAACACCCTGTCAAACGCTCTTAGATAAATTAACACAATAAGCTAGAAATTAAAATCTTGTTTACTTTATGAATCGCGAGAGAGAGAGAGAGAGAGAACATGATATATGAAATTGGGAGGTGCTGGAAGAGGGAATGAGAGAGAGAGAGAGAGAGAGAGAGAGAGAGAGAGAGAGAGAGAGAGAGAGAGAGAGAGAGAGAGAGAGTAGTGCCTGAGGAACACTCAGACAGAACAAATGAGCAGCCGCGGCTTGACTCCCGCTAGAGACGCTGATATCGGCTCGTTCTGCAGGAGTCAGATTACATCTGGAGAGGATCAGCTCGATCTGAGACACAGCTGAGGAGTTTCTCTGAAGATCTCAGCTCACAGAGAGAGACAGACCCTCGTGGTCGCAGTTCCCCACATGTACAAATGAAATCATGGATTCACTGTTGAGGACAGCGGTGCGCGGGGACGCCACGGATCTGTGCGCGTGATGACCATGGAGAGCATGTTTATTGGTAAGTCTGGTTATTATAAGTCTGCGGGTTTGTTTTATAGACTCCCCGTCTGGTCTCTCACGGGGACATCAGCGCAGCCTCACCACACACACACCTGATTTGTTGCAGTGGAGTTTAGCAAACAGCGTGAAATCGCGCGTTTCTGCAAAACTGAAGGAATTATGATGAGATTTTAGGAAACGTCTCAGCGTGTTGTCTGGAGCTTCCAGCTGAAGGGATTATTCCTTTCCAAATGTGCGGAGGAACGGGATCAGATCTCACCGCAGCAGATCTGTTGATCTGAGGTCAATCTGATGCAGTTTTTAGGGGTTTGAATGTGTGTGTGTTTTTTTTATTTTTTATTACATTTTTAGAAATGTAATTGGGATCGTTTAACAGTGTGGATGTAAACTTTCAAGACATTAGTTTTACATTTATGAATGTAAAAGGCAAGGTGTCTATTTTTTTTTTAGATGCTTTTAGATGTTTTACCATTTTTATCACTTCTAAACTTTTTTGCAGTCCTGTAATGTGACGTGATTTATTTATTTATTATTATTTATTATTATTTTGTACAAAAATCTAACTCTTAATTTGAATCTGCGCCAAAATAAAAAATAAAAATCTTTGGAAGATATCACTGAACATTTATTTAACCATAGGAAAAGTTCATTTCTTAGTTATTTTTCATCTCTGTTTTTTGTGGTTATTTAAAATTAGACAAATTTTATATTATTTTAATCGTATCTGTTTTTTACCAGTTGAGACAGTTCTTTAAGGATGATCTAACCAGAAAAAGACACTATAGCCGGGTTTAAATCCCAGTTGCGCAGGCGGGGCATGATGTCACACTGCGTTACAATGAGCCCCTATTATAACTATTCTATTCTATACTTTGATGAATTCTATTGAGAAACAATGATAAAAAAGTGAATAAAGACAGGGTTAATGTTATGAAATTATTAATTATTATTATGTTTTTAATATGCTGTATAGCTGTGTTGTGCTTGAAAAAATTAATTTTGGTGATCAAAGATGAGTTTTAAGAGATAATTGACTACAGGGGCGGGGGACTTTAAGAGTTTATGATTTGATCATTATTGCAGTGATTATTATGTATCTTGCATGTTATATGTTTGGCAGCAGTTCTTCTAACCCTAATTGATGGAGTGTGTAGCGTTTCATTTCTTAAACACCCATGTAGGAAGACACATCATGGCCATATTCCAGGAGGACAATGTCAAAATTCACCAGGCTCAGATTGTGAAAGAATGAAGAATCATTTTTCACACATGAATCCAGACCTTAAATTCATTGAAAGTCTTTGGGATGTGCTGGAGGAGACTTTACAGAGTGCTGGACTCTTGCATTGGCGATACAAGATCTTGACCAAAAATGGATGCACCTCTTGATGGAAAAAATGTTGTGATGTTATTTCCATCAAATTATGCAACTTTTGCAAAACATGCATGCAAGAAACATAATAATCACTGCAATAATGATCCAATCATAGACTCTTAAAGGGATACTCCACCGTTTTTTTCATATTAAACTATGTTATTCCCTTAACTAAGACGAGTTGATGCATACCTCTCTCGTCTCAGTGTGGCACTCAATCGCTCTCTCTTGCGGCGAAACTTTGTTAGCACTTAGCTTAGCCCAGTTCATTCATTAGGATCCAAGCAGAGAAGCGAGCAAACACCTCCACGTTTTCCCTATTTAAATACAGTTACACGTGTAACTCGAACAAGTATGGTGACACAAAATAAAACATGGCACTTTTCTAAGCGTGTAAAATGGATAAGTATGGATAGCACTTGGGAGCACTTCAACTCGGCGCAGTAATATCATGACTCCTGAAAAATCCTCTCCCTCTCATTGATGATATGATGATATTACATCGCCGAGTCGAAGTGCTCCTTTGGATACTAATGAATGAACTGGGCTAAGCTAAGTGCTAACAAAGTGTCTCAGCGCGCCAGAGCGATTGAGTGCACGCATAAGACGACAGAGGTGTGTATCAACTCGTCTTAGTTAAGGGAATAACATAGTTTAACATGAAAAAAACGGTGGAGTATCCCTTTAAGCATTTGCATATTTAAATCCTAGTAATGAGAAAAGATGTATCTTGAACTCTATCATGGAAAAACTAGCATGTGTAAACCTTAATCAAACACATTAATAATCAATTAAAAAGAAATGTATCCCTGTATGATATTACGCTGTACCCGGCCCAGCGGTTTTAGAAATAAATGGATGGATGAATCAGTTGCGAGCGCCATCTTCTGGCGAGAAGTGGGAATTCATTCGACACGACTCTCACAGTGCATTATGGGTATTCTCTAGCTATTGAGCGTACATCAGTCGTACACTTTTTATTGCTGTGCATTGTGGGATAGAATGAGTGCACACGATAACGTCCTCTACGGTTTCAGACACCACTTCAAATGGCTGTCCCCTATTTAAGGGTATAGGGGGCATTTCGGACACAGCCCATGACGCAGGTGACGTGCTGTGATGCGTGATAACACACACACACACACACACTCCCATTATAATCAACAAATCCATCTGCACTGGACGTGCCTGATGCTCCTTTTGACAGGGAGACCCTGATTATAGATAGTTTATGTTCTAGATTGCACAGCAACTATTCTTTATTTATTAATTTGTTGTGTATCTAGATAACTTCTGACTGAAATCAAAGGTAACTTGACGTTTCCGGCCCCTGATGTGCAGCTTCAGTGCAGTGGACAGCCTCAACTATCGTGTCCGGTGTTTGGTTCCTCCGTATAGGCAGCATTTTAGGCATGAGAGGCGAGGCGGTCCTGGCTTTAGAGCATGTAGATCTTGTTAGGACGTGGGTGATGACAGCAGAGACTGCAGTGTGGTTAACCCCAGATATTTTATTTATTTGGTTTATAACCTCAGATTGCAGAACACATGGCTAGTGTTTCCTGACCACTGCTTTACTACAGTTTAAAACCCAATTAGTTTTGCATGCAATATATATACGTTTGTGTGTGTGTGTGTGTGTGTGTGTGTGTGTGTGTGTGTGTGTGTGTGCTTATTTATTGTAAACTTGAAATCCTAATTTTTTAATCTTCAGAATAAATGATCAGTCACTGAACCCGGTGCACAATACCACAACTGGCTCTTAATGGAATGTGCAAAACAACTTAAGCTTTATGAACAACATCTGTGTTATAAAATATTGACTCATCCCTCAGTTTGTCAAAACAAACAAAATTTACAGTAGAAGTCTATGATGTGAGGCATTCCAGTGGGTTTCAAAGCGTGGATCTCGTATGTGTTGATATTATTTGAGCTGTTTAGTTGTCTCAATCATCCGTTTAGCAGTGGGATTACTTGTCTAGATGAATGTCTGTTTATGCATTATCAATATAATTCCCATGGGTGGAACAATAAAGGGGTCTAATACCTGAAGCAGTATCCAGTCTAGCATCAGTACTGAGAGAAAGATGTGCTGTAATCAAATACCAGGTAGATCAGTTTTGTTATGATGTTAATCAGTTATTAGTGTGCTGCTATTTTAATTTTGAGAGCGCAAAAACAAAAATTTTAAAAGCTTGCATATTTATTATTAATAATATTTATTTATATTATTTGTTTATTTTATATGCACCGCTATTTTTCAGTGGCTGTCTAGATTTTATTAGCAACACAATGGTGTAGTTATAATATCTACCAGCAGGGGCAAACTAAGCATGCAAACCATGCTAAACCTTGATTACTTGGTAAATGGTCTCTTTCTGGTATTCTTGTGTGTATTATGCAAAAAACTGCATGCTCAACCAGCATGTTCATAACAGTAGTTGAAATATTGTATAACTTTGCTCAGAAAAGATTGGTCTTAAGGCCCGGCCCGTTCACACCAAGAACAATAAGATACCCATAACTATTTTATTCGTTCCACATCAACGAACAATAAAACTCTGTTTATTCGAACCTCACGCTGCAGGTTTTGTCGTCTGTCACTTTAAATGCTCGAGCTCTTTAAAGCATGATGGATTCTGATTGGCTGTCAGTGTTTTTATCGGTCATCATCAGTTCTGTAAGTCATTCCAATGATATCGCTTTTCTGTGCCATTATCGTTATAGTTGTGGTGTGGACTCTGCTCATCTTTTATACGATTGTCTTTATCGTTACAGTTATTGTATTTAGTGTGAACAGGCTTTTAGAGGTGTTAGTTATGTATTATTTTGTTGGTCTTGGAGCTATACTTTTGAAACAATATTTTAACACTTATCTTGTTGCAATTCCCTAAGAGCCTTCCTTTGTAAGTGCATTGCTGTAAATAATGCAATAAATAAATAATGCTTGTTTTCAAATTGAAGGAAAAGAAATGTTGTATTGATTTAAACTTCTTTATATTGTCCACTCGTAGGACTCGTAGGTTTTCAATGACAGTCCATCAGGAGAGGGCTCTCTGCTTCATGCAGTGTGTGTTTCGAGGGCAAGTATGTGTGTTTTTTATATCAAGGGACATGGAGATAAAGCAGGCCGGATCAAGTCTAGGAGAATCCTAGGAGTGACAGAGAGCGGATGTGATTAATTATTTACGTGCCATATTTGTCCTCTAGACATCATTTTTTCTCTCAGTCAGCACCGCTCCGAGCAGCGAACGCTGTTTTAAGATGATGGGCACATCTGAACAGAGATATGGAGACAGTGCTACAGGCGGTTTCACACACACACACATACGCACGCACGCACACACACACACACAGGTTGGTTTTCCTATACTTGTGAGGACATCCATAGGCGTAATTGTTTTTATACCCTAAACCTACCCATTACACACACACACTAAACCGACCCCTAAACCTACCCATCGCACACACACATACTAACCCGACCCCTAAACCTACCCATCACACACACACACACACACTAACCCGACCCCTAAACCTACCCATCACACACACATACACACACTAACCCGACCCCTAAACCTACCCATCACACACACATACACACACTAACCCGACCCCTAAAC